GGTAAAGAAAGAATGTCAATGTAATACCAGGTGAAATAAACTATAACAAGTAAAACACTATAAAAGTACCAGGTGAAATACACTATAAAAAGTAAAACAACAGAGACAGTATCAAGTAAAACACTAATAGTACCAGGTGAAGTAAACTATAATAAGTAAAACAACAGAGACAGTATCAAGTAAAACACTGTAATAGTACCAGGTGAAATAAACTATAATAAGTAAAACAACAGAGACAGTATCAAGTAAAACACTGTAATAATACCAGTTGAAATACACTAATAGTTGCATGCAACAAATTTGCACATCTCCACAACAAAACTTGCACTTTAGCCATAAGTCGTACTTTTCCCTCTTAGTTGTTAACAATTTAGCACATGTTAACTATGCAGTTTTTGAGTGCTCAACTACAAAGAAATATTTATTTTTTCAATACATTTGGGCACCTGTAATGACTTAGCAGTGAGTTCGTACAGTCTAAAAAGACTCCTAAAGTGAAAGAATGCCCAAGAAGTAGAGCTGAAGATAAAGAAAACATTGGATTCAGTATCTATTTTAAGTACAGTACTGATAACAGTGACAGTGTTCTTTGAAGTACAGAATGAAATAGTAGTGCTGATGATAATACTGTATTACATAGGAATAACTAAGATACTTCAATGGTTCTCAACAACATTCTGCAACAGTGTTGAGTAACATACAGTCACAATAGCAAAGCTTATACTGTCTAAATGCTGACTAAAACATTATAATGATGTACAATAAACAGCTATGTCAGAATGAATAAAACATTATAATGATGGACAATAAACAGCTATGTTAGAATGAATAAAACATTATAATGATGTACAATAAACAGCTATGTTAGAATAAATAAAACATTATAATGATGTACAATAAACAGCTATGTTAGAATGAATAAAACAGCTAAGTAAAAAAAAAAAAAACTGTAAGAGGATCTTCATATTTTTACAGATAAAATAACAATAAAGAAACTATTAGTAATGAAAACATACCAGGTAGAGTTAAATATTATACTATTATTTTTAAATAAATCACACCTAGTGCACTTGTTAATTTGATTGCTGGGATTTTGTTGATGTGTAGATGACTGAGTCTGGGAGTAAAAGGGTGTCTGGTTTGATCTGCCTCCAACATTTTCATTTTCTTCTCCAATGTCCATAGACAAGTAATGGCAGTTCTTTAATCCACAGCCCCTGTACCAAAATTATAAGTATAAAAAATATAGCTTTTATAACATGCTGGCATTGTGTTTCCTCTTACTTGGATAAAAACATATCTTTCTGATAGTTATTAAGTTTTATTTGCATTGAAGGTAGGTGTCAAAAATGTTAATTCGAAAGAATGTGATTGATCTTCAAAGTGTGGAGTCAAGATGTTGTGAAGAAAGAATGTGATTGACCTTCAAAGTGTGGAATCAAGATGTCATGTTACAGTGTTTTACTTGATACTGTCTCTG